TTTCCTTGAAGAAATTTTTCCTAATTTCCAGCCTAAACCTCCCCTGGCGCAGCTTGAGCCCATTTCCTCTTGTCCTATCGCTAGCTACTTGGGAGAAGAGCCCAACACCCACCTCACTCCAACCTCCTTTCATGGAGTTGTAGAGAGCGATAAGGTCTCCCCTCAGCCTCCTCTTCTCCAGGCTAAACAACCCCAGTTCCCTCAGCCGCTCCTCATAAGGCCTGTGCTCCAGACCCTTCACCAGCCTTGTTGCCCGCCTCTGAACACGCTCCAGCCCCTCAATGTCTTTCTTGTACTGAGGGGCCCAAAACTGGACACAGTATTCGAGGTGCGACCCTCAGTTCCCCGCAGGAGGGAGTTGCCCACCACAATTACCCTCCTTTTTTTCTTAACAGGGGCAGTCTTACTCCATTCTAAACTACGTTGTATTCCTTTTTTCTTCAAAACACAACTTTCACCTTAGCTCTGGTGGCTGTTTAACATAAGTAGTAAAAAATAATACTGTTTTCTTAGCTGCCATGCTGCTTTACCTGCTGCACTAGACAGAAACACCACATAGGCCTACACCAGTGTCAACCCAAGCAGCTGATCCCTGTTCAGCTGGGATCGTAACAGACACCTCTTTGGCAGATACAGGGGCAAGCTTTCACATCTGAGGTACCCAAGAATCTGCAACAGTCAGCTCTGAAACTTGACTGATTACTATTCCCATAGTGGAGGATGTCATTCTGTCAGCATGCTCAAACACACACTCTTTTCCTTAGTTGACCTCTTGGTAAAATTAGTAATTTCCTTTCCCAGAATCCAAAACACCGTATCATAGGCAGTAAAACTGAAAGGGTCCTCTGCTTATCATTCCACCTCAAGGCAAGATATGAGCTTGTTATTGCTGATAGATGTATCCTGCATAATCTTGAAAACCTCAGAAGACTACATAGGCTCCCAAGGAAATAAAACTCAGTAGAATCGTAGAATCATAGAATCATAGAATCATCTAGGTTGGAAA